CAGGAGCAGCTAAGTGAAATACAGCAGTCGTTAATTTCATTATTTAGCTAACACCTGTGCTTGTGCCACCGTGACATGTCAAAATGTCTTCCGTGGAAAAATAGATCCATATTTTGTGCTTCAAGGTTTTGCAGACCAACACAGGTCTTTTCAAAACCTCTGCTCAGGTTGAACGTGGGAGGAATTACTTGAGGTCAGGAGTGGGTGCACTGAGAGTGGGTGTAATTTGTCCAGGTGCCACAATACTAACAGGAGAGTGAGGGAGAGGTGAATCAAGTGTACTGTCTGTACAGGCGCAGTGCTGATAAATTGTCTAATCAGCCCAAATAATTAAAATCTCCTGTGTGGGTTTGCAAAGGGTGTGCAGAGCAATTAAGTGGAGGATCTAAATACATTAGTGGATCGAGTGCTGAAACAATTAGTTGACTGAAAGAAAACGAATTGCCAACGATTGTTTTTTTAAAAAGCGAGTAAGTCATTTGTCAAGCAAAAAGTTCCAAACATTGTTGGTTTTTTAGAGCCTTTAGAAAGTGAAGATTTGCTGTTTTATATGATTGTAAATGGAATAGCTGTTCTTGGGTTTAGGACCGTTGAACACAACAGAAATAAGACATCACGTTCAGCTCTGAGAAAGCGTGATGGGCATTTTCACTATTATTTTACACCTAACACTGTGTAAATACAAACCTAAGATACAAAACCATTCTGAAAGTAATAGTTGCAGCCTAAGCTGAATCCCCCCCCAAAAAAACAAGTTTCCTTCAGTCTTTGCAAGCTGTCCAAAGATTAAATTAAAGCTTCAATCAGTGGCCTGAATGACAGTTGCATAGATTGTACATCGTCAACTCTGAATTAAAGGCTCAACTGTCACATCCCAGTAGTGTGCACATGGCCTGCATTTGAATAGCAGCCTCTGTATCTAGCAGAATGCTAACACAAATGTAGTATATAACTTCACTTGCAAGTGTAGACTCTATTTTTAATCTCAGACTTTGTGCTACAATTTTCCAAAATAACTTTCCATGTCATATTTCTGTAATGATGAAACTAATAATGCCATGAAAACAGTCAAATGATAATAATAATTTAACAAAAGACATCTGTTCTGTCGTTGATAAAACACCAAGCTTTTATGATGGGTGAACACAGCAGGGCTAAAGCAGTCTCCACTCCTGTGTGCAGTCTGCCTCTCCTTTCCTGGAAAAGTAATGATCATAACAACAGAGGAGAAGCTTCTCAAATTGGCTGTCTAACAGTCTGTCCTCTTGGGAGAGAAGACCACGCCGTACAGACCGAGCGGTCTCGCTCTTGATGCCCGGTGTTGGTGTGCTGTATATATAGTGCAGAGACATCTGCTTTGTTGGTGGGGTAATTATTTAGTCTCTCCATATCCAGCTGTGACCTGAATTGCTCCGTAATCTTAATCTTTGAGTCTGCATTAAGAGCCACTTTCTTCCCCATATCATGCCAAATCGTCCTCATTGTCTGCTGTTGATGTGTACATATACGCATTTATTCCGAGCAGAAACTACTATTTGGAAGTAATAGTGGGAGTAAGAAGTGTGCAGAATTGCAGACATGAAGCCCCATACATTTTTTTGGAAGTCATTAACAAAGGGTACCATCTGCAGTTACCAATATTAATTTAGGATGACATTTATGAAGTGTGCCCTTGGCTATGCCATCACTTAGAATGGGGGAAATCTGAAATAATAAGATCGAGCTGTATCACTGTTTGTGCATCAATTTGCAATAACAAAAAAGAGAGAGGAGCAGGTGATTTTTTTTCTCTGGCTCTGCCTTTCACTTTCCTGGGGCTGTGTGTAGCCCCGATGTGATGATTCCAAAGGCCTTCCGAGCCAACTATCACTGTCAGGAGGTTCCCGTGTGACGACCCCCAGCAACAACTGTAGTGGCAGCTTATCTTGCCGTCCTTCTTGGCCACTTCTTGCAGGATGTAAAGGGTTTCTGACTCGCGTAGACTGCCATGTGCTCTTGCAGGCTAAACTTTTCTTGCTAGCTGTCCAATGATGAGGCTCGTAGCTCGTAGTTAAAAGTAGTTTCATGCCATGTAAACAAAAAACAAACAAAATCCTTATGCAATAACTGGATTACCAAAACATTGACCTTCTGCTGGCTATAACTAAAAAGTCTATAATCTGCGGTCAGAAAAATTGTTGGTCCACATCCTGCTCCATCAAAGCCTAACTTGGACTGAGACCTATAGGAGTCAACCTAAAATGATCCAATAGCAGGACAGAATAGAGGAGCCTTTATCTTAAAAGGGCAAAAACACACATTTTACAACATGACCAATTACCTTAACTTTATTATATGGTAAACATTGTAAAGGGCACATACTTTTGCAATAAACATAAAAAATACAAAAACTGTTAAGAATACAAAATGGCTCTTACAACAGCTATACCTCGTCCCTCTGGCATCCATGTCCAGTTTCAACAAACACACCGAGCCTAGTTTAATAAGTCAGGTGATGACCTCATAAAAGATGTGGCGCTACATTTATAGTTGGCATGGAGAAGGGGGTGGGATTCACATACAACTGGGAAACTACTTTATAGCATACACACAATCTGAGTTTAATGTGGGTTATCATACCTGTGCGCAAGCTATCGATATGATGATAAATCAAATGGCTCTGTAAGAATTTCTGTAAAAAGCAAATGAGGACACAGGACTTTAGATCCTCTCATCTCCTCTAATTCCTTTCACTCAGTGATTTCTCTGCGCTCTGAGGGAAAACACATCACCATTTTTTTTTTTTTTGTGGTGCAACAAAGACTTTAATAATAAACACAGTCAACCATGCGCATGAGGTAATATCCAAATGGATTTTTTGCAGACTATTTAATTGTTTAATTTATTAATGAAAATCTATGTTTACAGATGGAATACCCAAATTGGAACCAAAATCCTTTTTTGTTGTTGTTGTTGCTCCTGTTGGTGTTATTTGTTCTATTGAGTGGATTTGATAAACTCAAACCATCAATTCCTCTTTGACCGACCCACATGTGAATGTATGCACACGCTCTCAGGATCTTATTCGCAATCTTTCCCTCTTCGCCAGACTGTGAAAATCCATGCAACGTGTAACAACTCTCATACTATTTCCGGTCATTATTTAGCACCCGTTCCCATAGCATGTCTGTCATCAATATAACATACAATTTGTTTGTGTGTACTATGTGGCAAGACAAAATGTAGAAATGCTACATTTTCCCTCATTACCGCCGCAGTCGATCATGTGAGAAGTCATCGCTGTCAGTCTGCTGCTGGCTCTTCTTACCAGGTGGTGCAGGGCATCTGTAATGTTTTGCAAGAGGTTGAATAAAACTCAAAATAATTAGTTGCATCAGAACATGTTCAGATGGCAGACACTCGAACCATTAGAGCGGAATGCACCACACTGTTCCCAACTAAAACCGCTTAAGTGTTAAAAGCTGCAGAATATAGGCTAACCTATCCTAATCCCACAGTTTAAAAAGTGGAATGTAGTTAAAGACAAAGGGATTGATATTCTACTTTTGCCCTTGAGTGAGAGAGAGAGAGTGTGAGAGAGAGAGAGATTGTCCGTGTGTGTGTATGTGCCAGAGAGAGAGGGGGGAGTGACAGAGAGATAATCTCTTTTGTATTTTTTGATCCCTAAATGTGGCGGTGTCCCCTTATCCCAGCTACTTAGTTTCTGCAGTGCGTAAGTGATGCCATGCACTTAGGCTGTGAAAAGCAGGTCAGTATGACCACTGAGAGAAAACCACATGTGCATCGCATGGATAGCCTTGGGATTATTCCTCACAAAATGTCTTAATTCCTCTGTTCACTAATGATCCAGGGAAAATGCCCTCTAATCTCCATTCCATTAATTAAAAAGAGCATGAGCCCGTGGAAAACCTCACCATCTGCTGCAGTTTCATTCCTGCAGACAGATTGTGTTTTCAGCCATTAACCAGGCGGAACTGGGTTTTCCAGAGCAAATGGGCGGATGCGTGGAGGTGGATGGTAAACAGATACAACTGCTCTGTTTTGAGTATTAATATGCTGGAAATCTGTTTTAAATATGAACAATCCTTGCCAGGCTACTGTGATGATGTCTGGGGATTTGAGCTGCCTCCTGAGGACAATTTGACAATTTGCACACTTCAAACCCATACTATACATAGAGTCACCTTGGAGACTTCATTATCATTTTATAGTCCGTTTATGGTGTTTCTAAAATGGATGGAAGTGCTTTCTTTTTTTAAAAATATGAACGCTCTCCCTGTATTCTTCTATATGAATATCATTCTTTTTTTTGCGCTTGGATAATGTCTTTAAAGCTGGTTTGATAAAAGCTCAACCAAAATTCTCACTTACTGTTACAACATAAACAAAAATAAAGGATTCTCACGTTGATTTATTTTCACAGTTCTTGTTATGAAAATGAGTTTGTTGAAAAGTTTCTAATAGAATGCTCATTCCAAATCTGTACTATCCTGCACTAATAGCTTCAAACAGTCAAGCTTTTAAGAAATAATACGAATTAAAAGTCCACAACTGTAACTTTTTTGCGCAGTTTTGTGAGTGAATATGTTGCAGTAAGGTTTGCTTGGATCCAATTAGGCTGAACTCCATCAGATAACTCTTATAAGAAATTGAATCAAGTACGTTTGACCTGCAGTCAAAGCCTGGAGACTGATGGGACATGGTTTTGATCGGGCTAGTAGGCAGGAAAGATTATCCGAGCAGATGTCGTTCTCCTCCTATTGGAACAGTAGGGCCAATAATAAACACACGGACACACACACACACTGCGCACACTAATCTGAGATAGGCTAGTAGCCCTCACATCCCTTTCTCTCTCCTCTTTTCTCTCAAGCAGACATCTCGCTGGTTCCAGTCCCACCAATGTCAAGTTTTTTCCAGACCGTGTTTTGCACAGTTCTGCCTTAATCATGTTGCATGCGCATAGCGAAGACAGAGTCCGTAGTGTGAGTTGCGGCACTGTTTCAGCTATACAGATGGACAAACAAGGGGCGAAGAAAAGACTGTTTGGGAAATGGCATGCAGTTTGCCGTTTTGCGTTGTTCACTTGTTTCTTGGACGCAGTCCGAGGACAGATTCGATACTCTATCCTGGAGGAACTGGAGCATGGGGCTTTTGTTGGCAACATTGCAGAGGACCTGGGCTTGGATTTGGACAAGCTCTCTGCGCGCAGATTCCGAATAGTGTCAGGTGCCAAGAAGCAATACGTGGAGGTGAATTTAGAAAATGGAGTTGTATTCGTCAACGAGAGAATTGATCGCGAGGAACTCTGCGAGCAGAGTTTGTCCTGCTCTTTTCACTTGCAAGTGGTCATCGAAAACCCTCTGGAGCTGTACAGGGTAGAGATGGAAATTTTGGACGTGAACGACAACTCTCCCAGTTTCCCGTGGACCGAGTTCAATCTGGACATATCAGAGTCCGCTGCGCCAGGGTCCCGCTTCCCACTTGAGAGCGCACAGGACTTGGACGTCGGATCCAACTCGCTCCGAACCTACTTGCTGAGTGTGAACGAGCATTTCCTTTTGGACATACAGACGCGCAGCGATGGCAGTAAATTTGCAGAACTAGTCCTACAAAACCCGCTGGACAGAGAGCAGCAAAGTGCGCATCAAATGGTCCTAACGGCTGTGGACGGAGGCGCGCCGGAGAGATCCGGCACTGCGCAAATCGATATCACCGTTTTGGATGCGAACGACAACGCGCCCGTGTTCGACCAGTCGTTTTACAGAGTGAGGCTCGCTGAAAACGCACCCAAAGGCACAGTTGTCATAAAGCTCAACGCGTCCGATTTAGATGAGGGTCCCAATGCGGACATCACCTATTCATTCAGCGGCCACGCTCCCATCAAAGTGCGCCAGCTTTTCAGCGTGGACTCGCGCACGGGAGAAATTAAAGTCAAAGGAGTGATAGATTACGAAAAGGCCAGGATGCATGAAATTTACGTTCAGGCAAAAGACAAAGGGCCCTCGGCTGTGGCGGTTCACTGCAAAGTGCTGGTGAACGTTTTGGATACAAACGACAACCTCCCGGAGGTGATCCTGACGTCGGTGTCCACACCTGTGCAGGAGGACGCGCCCCCGGGAACGGTCATAGCCGTCATCAGCGTGATGGACAAGGACTCGGGTGAAAACGGGAACGTGGACTGCGAGATCCCCCACCAGGTCCCATTCCATCTCCACTCATCCTTTAAGAACTACTACACATTAGTAACTTCTGACTTTCTGGACAGAGAGGCGGTCGCGGAGTACAACATCACCCTCACAGCGCGAGATATGGGCTCCCCACCTTTATTCACGAGGAAGACTATTCTGGTCCACGTGTCCGATGTGAACGATAACGCGCCCCGCTTCAAGCAGCCCTCCTACACGGTGTATTTGACTGAGAACAATGCTCCCGGAGCATCCATCTGCTCGGTGACTGCGCTGGACCCGGATTCTGGTCAAAACGCATACCTCTCCTATTCTATACTGGAGGGGGACATACAGGGCATGCCCGTGTCCACGTACGTCTCCATAAACTCAGACAACGGCAACATTTACGCGCTGCGATCCTTCGACCACGAACAACTTAAAAACGTCCAGATCACCGTTCAAGCTCAAGATGCCGGGTTCCCGCCTCTGAGCAGCAACGTCTCCGTGAACGTATTTATTTTGGACCAAAACGACAACGCGCCAGTCATCGTGTCCCCTGTCGCGCAAAACGGCAGCGCGCCCAGCGGAGCGGTGCCCCGATCGGTGGACGCCGGTTACCTCGTCGCCAAGATCAGCGCAGCGGACGCGGACGAGGGTCAAAACTCGCGTCTGTTTTATCAGCTGCTGCAAGCGACAGACCCGAGCTTGTTCAGCATCGCCCTGTACACGGGCGAGATCAGGACGATGCGCCAGTTTGTGGAGAAAGACGCCACGAGGCACAGATTGGTCATTCTCGTGAAGGACAATGGTCAGCCGCCCCTCTCGGCCACTGTTTCCATCATCCTGGCAGTGGTTGACAGCCTGCCAGATTCGCAGCCCGATTTGGGTGACCTGTCACTAAGCCCACATCACAGCTCAAACTTCACCCTGTACTTAATCGTGTCTCTGGGCGCAATCTCCTTCACATTTCTGGTGGCTATCATTGTCCTGGTTGCGGTGCGGAAACTGAAGGGCAGACCGTCCAGCGGAGAGTCAGACTTCCCCTCGATCAGCTGGAGTGGCGGGAGTTGCTGCTGCTGCTGCTCGCGCTCGGAAACCTCCTCCACCACCACCACCACAGACGTGTTCAAAAAGTCCAACTTGAACGTCTGGATGTCCACAGGCGCGTCCGGCTGCGCGGAGGCAAACAGCAACGGCGCTCTGCCTCAGGTTTATTGTTACAAAATGTGTCTGACACCGGAATCGTCCAAAAGCGACTTCATGTTTCTGAAGCCCTGCAGTCCGGTGATGTCAGTTCAGCAGAACAACGCCAAGAGCACAGATTACCTCACTTCTGGCTGGAGTACGCTGGAGCGTAATGAACTGGCCAACAACAGAGCAGCAACTCCAAACGAGGTAACCTATTGAAATATGCACGTAGAAACATAAAAGTCAGCATGTCTGTCACACTGTATCAGTTACTACACTTATCCATGTCTCTGGTCGTCCTGCTGTCTCACTTCAATTACAAATGACAGAAAGGTGGACTGAAGGGCAAATGTCACAATGCATTTTACACAGTATGTATGTTTCAATAAAGATCATATCTAAAGAATAAAAACAGCAACAACAAAAAAACATGCATGGCTATTTTGCAGTCTTGTGCAAGTAGTCCTTTGGAAACTATATCCTCAACTAACCCACATGTTGTGGTATGTCTGGGCAAATTACCACAATGTGTCAAGGTGTGTGACAGGGGCGTGACAGGTGTTGCAGGGATAAAAGAGATGCACATTTTTGTTTTAATCACAGACTTGGAGCTGCATCTGATCTTAACACAGCGGCTGTATTCGCTCTCTCGTCAACAAACAGCATCTGCATATCCACCAATACTAAACCTCACATCGAAGCAGATTAGTTACAAACTCATTTAGTCCTTTTTAGGAGATGTGACATCTTCTCAGTCATTATAAAGCTGCATCTGAGAGCCTTTTATGTAATTTGTTAAAGTAATAAATGCATAAGACAATGTAGTTCAGTTTATTTGAGTCTAGTAAAAATATAATTAACATGAACAACAGATAAAAAGGAATGTCAGTCACACTGACTTTGACTAAGCCGTATCATGTGATGCATTTAGCCTTGCCATTGTATGTGCATGAGTGCATCTAGACATAAATGCAGTGCAATTGTTCTACTTGAGGTGGCCGCTAAGTTTTTTTTAATGTTTTTGTGCAGCTTACGTATTCAAACAAGGACTGGACCTGGACCAAGAACCAACGCAACTCAGCATACAAGAGGTGAGTACATTAGTTGCGTCAGTTGCAATACACACACGTGCACACACACACACGCGCACACACACATGCTTAAAGTTATACTTAAGCTGTCTCCTTATCTCCTCAGGTATAGTTCAGCAAATATGGAGGGCACTCTTACTCGCCAACAAAAGTCTGATGCCCACGGGTTTTCCTGCTCTGTGGCACCACAGTACTGGACCTGGGGAAACCACATGAATGGTAGGCTGCAACTGTGCAATTTGGGCTCATTGTGGTTTGCATAAAAGAGGGTGGTGGGTCGGGGGGGGGCTCTCCCCGCGTCTGTGCCTGACGATTTGGTCTGAAATATGAAATGGTAAACTGAAAAGCAGATAATACCAGGCCCCAAAACTGGGGGAGTGGGGGGGCATTTTAATGCATCAACATGAGGATTACTAAAGTCCCTGGAAGATGTGTTTAATGCCTTTAATACCACCGTATTCAGATCAAGTATACTGTATGTAAATAAGAGCTCTTTGCAAAAAATAATCTTCTGATACAAACTGTAATTTATGCGCATTTTTACAGACTGCAAGATATCTCTTCAAGAGGGAGCAGTCCCTCACTACTCATGGACTCCCTACACTCAGCCTCACTCTGAACCACCAGACTACCAGCACAACGTGTACATACCTGGCAACACGGCTGACCACAGCACTCTGAAGCTGGCTCCCAGAGGAGAACTGGATGTGTACAACACGTTCTCCACTTTTGGAAAGAAAAAGAGATTCATCTCAAACTATGAACAATCTTTTGACAACGATGATGGTCTCATCGTAAGTAATGACATCTTCAAATGATAGCGATACTGTTTTTGTATATGATATATAATAGTTAGTCATAACTATAAATTGCTTCTTGGAGGCTGACCAATATGTTTCCCCTTTTTTCAGTGGAATTCAATACGACTCCTTAAGTATATTTTTTATTTGTGTAAATACTGAAATAAAGTATAAATAAAGTCTATTTTGAGTCATGGTGGGTTCATGGTTGCAAAGGCTGTAAACTGGAGCACTGGCAGAGAAGGTTTTTCTTTTCCAGCAGCGGTGAGCTCAGGTAAATGTGATTTGGTCTGTTTGGAGGCTGCTGGTTCTCAGAGTGAATGTCTATTTTGAAAAAAATATCACGATTTCAGCAGCTTACAGTCTATTACACAAGGCTCGTCCATGTAACACTCACTTTCTTTTTATACAGACACACCTTTTTGTCCCACAGGGACACGTGCTGTGTGTCAAAAGTGAACTGACTAACTGTAACAGCCAGAAACTTTATACTTCATAGCCTTTGAAGTAGCAGTTTATTCCTCAAGCTAACACATTTAAGATATGTTATATATATATATATATATATACTACAGTCTTTGTGGGCATTGTTCTTCACAAATTGCTGTAAATCTTGGTTAGATAATGCAGCTGTGCCACAGTTCAACATCTTTCATCCGATCATATCTGGTGCATTAAGAGACAGGTCATGTGTTTGTGTCATTAAAGGTTATACAACAGAAAAGAGATTTAATGCCATAGGCATCTGCTTTCACAAAGATGACATTGAAATGCTGAGTGAAACCCTGCAACGGATCCACTGAACAGGGGTCAGTGAGGGATTGTTTTACAAGCGATAGCATCACCGCTGTCATGGTACTCACTGGGCCTGTGCAGTGGACCGTCACACTGACACACACCACATCGAACAGTTGACACTCAGGAGGGCAACAACACAGGTGCTACTGCAAATTAGACACGCACACACCTCTTGTACCACCCGGATTGTTTGATCGCAAGCAACTGCTAGTATAATTCAGTCACTGGTTATACGCATTCTAGATTTGTATTCATCACCGAGTGTGAATCACTCTCTGTATATATATACTTTATGTACAGTATAGATCAATATCAATAAATCTGTCCCTGAACTCTGCAGTTGTTGTTTATTGACGGACATATTTCACTCCTGTCATTTAATATGCCAATGTGTTTCTCTTGCTCTGAAATAACGTCTAGAGTAACGTAGCATTCATTTCACCGTGAATAAATAAATGCATCAAAAACAATAAAGCTGTAAAAGTAAACTTGTGGATGTGAAGTCAAAGTCGTCAAAAGCTGACGATGAGATTTATCAGATTAAACGGTGTAAATCACAATTACAGTTGTTTTCTATAAATTCAGTTTGTGCCCAGATGCTGACATTGAGATTTATCTCCAGAGGGGTTAAGCGGTGTGATCCACGGACTCATATTTTTCGGACGTCAACCGTCAAGACCACTGCACAATTATTTTCGCCAGTTCCCTGCAGAGATACAATCAGGCGTAATCATTTAAGCCAACTCCTCTAAATCTTCTAAAAGTTGAAGGCAAGAGCCAGGCTTAGTCAGGAGCATCCTCCCTTTACGACATGGACACCAGCGTGAAGCCTATGGAAGAGGAAGCTGTTGTGACTTATGGCCTCGTGTCATTTAACCTTTTCTTTTGACATTTCGGTCAATGAAAACCAGGGTTTTAACTACAACTCTGGAGGTAATCCTCAAGATCTGTCGCCTCTAACTGAGCCATTGCAGACCAACGGGTTAATCTTGGGCTTGGGCCTGACTGCCTCAGTGAACTGTGTTAAGTTCAAAGAGCTGAGTGCCAAAGGGTCAGTTTCAGATGTATTTCAAACTCTCTGAACATCGAGTCAGAAGGATAAACCCTTTGAGGAAAAAACTGTATATATATATCCCCGTCAGTTAGAGACTACTAGGATTTGAAATACAAATCCAGATAGGCCCACAACGACATCCTGCCAATAATTACAGATACTCAAGCCAAGATTTATATTTGACTGTGTCAGCACCAGTACCAAAATCAGCCAGGCTTAGCAGTCATAATATGTCCCATGCACAATAAGCAGAGTCACATAGCATATGTCTTGTTTCGGTGCCATGTAAAATCTGTTCAGAGACCAATCTGTGTTGTTTTATTTCCTTCCATCTCCCCCTTTTCTCTCCCAACAATCCATAGCTTCCACCACTGAGGTTGAGCAGAAGAGTCTCCCCTGTTTCTCCACTAGAGGGTTCCTTTCCCTCACAGACACCTCTTTTAAAGAAAACAATAATACCTATATGTCTGTGCATGGTATGCTTGTTGGAATTCACCATTTCATTTCAATAACGGTCTTGAATCATATGTTACTCTTTTATCAGCCTTCATCTGATAACTAAGTGTGCATTACGACGGCATATTAGTGCATTTGTATATTTTAAAAATCACAAGATTTTTCTCGTTTGAATATATTCAAATGAGTTTGTAAAAAATGAACGGGATATGTCTTGTATATCATTTAATATGTCAAAATTATTACATACACTAATATATATGGCAGCACAGTAAATCCGTACTGTATTAAAATGCTATTTTCATGCCTCATGTTTGCCAGGAGCTCTAACGTATCCCCTCACCCCTGCTCTATACACTGTTGGGTGTTGGGCAGGGGCCACTGCTTCTATAAACAGTATGTAACACCTAGCATGACCACGACTCCTATATCCCTCGTTCAATTAGCAAATGGGTGAGAATGGCCCCGGGAAATATATGACTTTGACGGAGGAAAGCAATGCATGACGTGGAGATTGACAGACAATCATGAAAAAAATCATGATAAAACAAACTACAAAGCAATCAATATTATGTAGAAAAATCACACCACCCCAAAACACACCCACTGCAGTGCTTCCTTGCTACAAACATTATGTGCACAAAACAAGCAAGAAATAAAATGACTTATTAGTGTATGGTTGTATCTGCAAATGGATGATTATTGGCTATTTCAACTCCAAAGATCACAGTGGCAATACTGACAATATGTACAGTATAATAGCATTTCGCTCATTGCTGATCCTTCATCATGTTACATGTTTTACATGTGAGCTTTAAGATCCTGTAGGCGTCTTGCTGGGATGGATCAGGAACGTGATGAGGGCAACGGTGAGGTGTTACTGCCGTGTCTCTTATTGTTACAGTCTGTCTGTTTACTGCATGTCTCTTTCTCCTCAATATGTTGTCACTTCAATCAACACAACAAAATGTTGATTTAAAAATGGATAACCCCTTTGCCTTGCTGTCATACTATGGGAACTATGTGAAAAGGGTCACTGGGTCTTTACTCAAAAAGAGAAACCTTTAAATTTGAGATTTAATTCTGACAAAGCTAGTGTATCTGGCAAGTCATTATTAAGTTATTTCAACTACAGCTTTGTAGTTTTTTCATCTCAATTATTTTGTCCACTTTGACCGCTTTGTTGTCAAAAGCATGTTACACTTTGGGCCTGACATCATGTTAAAACATTTCTGGTGTTGTTTTTGATCAGGGACACAATTTCAGGGTCCTAAAGTCTTATTAAATATACCATTGTGCAACACAGATATTTAATTTTTTATACAGACATACGAAGGCAAAATGGATACTATGAATCACTGAATTATTTAAAAAAAATAACACTTTAAATGCATTAAAGTAACAGATAATATAGCGTGTGTGATCCAGATTCTCCTGTAATTCTTCATATTGTCACCAGATGGAGCTAAAGGACAAGAATGCTGAGGACCATCCACATCTTACTGCCTATCATATCAGTGTACACTCCCATTAGTTTGGGAATCCAGACCTATTAAAACATAGCAGCAAGCACAAATAATAATGGGAAGTAAAAGTTGTTTGGGCCATGGCACTACCCATGCAAAATGGTCAGTGCAAAGCTTTACTGTGCAGTAGGTCGCTGAGAAGAAAAATGTAATACATTTGCTGTGAAAACATTTCAGTGTCTTTTAAAAGTTTTAAAACTTCATGACTATTATCTGTTTGTTTGATGAGGTTAGATTGAGCGAGGAGCGGTCTACTAGACAGAGGTAAGGGATGCAAACCCCTTTACTCTTAATATATGTTGATATATTATATTATATTATAATTATTACCATATTCTAAATCTTAATTATTTTTCCAACAATTTTCAGTCACTGTCAGCCATATATCCTTTGAGAGTATGAATATATTGCATCATAATACTAACAGTAACCAGAGATATATGAACGACACAACATACCAACTTTTCCCTGTGATCCACTTTTGGTAATATCTTGACTGTAACCTTCAAAGTATTGACGGCTCTGGGAATATCCTGGTTTGTTCTTTCCGAGAATATTCTTTTACATATCTTCACAAAACGTCTATATAATGTCCATGGAAGGCCTTTTAAATATATTTGAATAAATACATTAGAAATAAAATAGATTTGAATTCAATAAATGAATAGAACCGATTTCTCCTTTGAACCACATATCTGTATCCATCATAGTGTGAGTCTATCAGGCGAGATACATGGAACCTGTCCAAGGAAATGTATGGGAATACTATTTTGTAATCATGAGGGATATTTAAAAAATAAAAATAAAAAATTAAATAATACAAATTATAATCTCAGGCTGCGTCACAACTAGCCTTTGTATATTTGGACAATATTTTCTTAAATAATATTAACTTTAAACTTAGGCTACCCCCCCTTATGTCCACCCCAGCTCCTCAGTGATGCCGCCCCAGCAGCCCACACAGATGCTGCCTCCGCCCCTGCAGAGCATTTTGCCGTGAGAGCTCAGCTCCTCCAGCGGTACTGTACCGTGCATGGCCTGCTGCTGCTACAGCTACAACTGGTGGAGAATGACACCGGCGCTCCCCTGCATCCAGACGACCTGATCGCTAAGGACGGATCTGTTTCACTTCGAGATAATAAAAAAACACCACAGCGACGATGGCGCGTGTCTTTGCACCCGTACGGAGACATTTGATCGCGGCAGTTTTTACGTTCGTTGCACTGTGGGGATGTGCGCTCTCTATCACCCGGTACTCGATTCCGGAGGAGATGGAAGAAGGCTCCTTTGTTGCCAACCTGGCCACGGATTTGGCTCTGGATGTTCGCAGTTTGGTGCAGCGCAGCGCAAAGCTCGATGTCATTCACAGCAAAAATTACCTCGACATCAACAAAGAAACCGGGGAGCTGGTGATCCGGGAGAAGATAGACCGGGAGAGCATATGCATGACTAAAGCGACCTCGTGCTTTCTGAAAATGGATGTCATACTGGAGAACCCCATTCGCATTTTTAATATCGAGTTGGAAATCATGGACATCAACGACAACGCGCCCGTGTTCCGCAGAAGGACAATGCACTTGGACATATCGGAGGCAACCCCTCCCGGTGAGCGCTTTTCATTGACAAACGCCGTGGATGCGGATGTGGGGGCGAACTCGATCAAGACCTACTATCTCAGCGAAAGCAAGTACTTCAGCATCGACATACAAACTGGCAGCGATGGCTCCAAATACGTGGACTTAGTGCTGAACGGTCATTTGGACCGAGAGGAGCACACGGTTCACAATTTGATTTTAACCGCTGTGGATGGAGGGGTGCCTCCCCGCTCCGGCACAGCCAGCATCGTTATCAACGTCTTGGATATCAATGACAACGCCCCCCTGTTCAGTCAGCCGGAGTTTGCGGTCAATGTCTCGGAGAACACGGCTGCGGGGACGGTGGTCATGACCTTAAACGCCACAGACTTGGATGAAGGCACAAACGCTCAGCTGGTATATTCATACACATTGTACACCTCGGAGAAGACTCAAGAGCTCTTCTCGCTTGACCCAAACACTGGTGAGATCAAGGTGAAGGGGGTGATCGACTATGAGGAGGGCCAGAGCTTCGAGATGCACATCCAGGCTCAGGACAGAGGGGTGAACCCCAAGGCGGGACACTGTAAAGTCATGGTGTTCGTCACAGACCTGAACGACAACTACCCCGAGGTGACCATAAAGTCTGTGAAAAGTTCACTGACGGAGGACGTCTCCGTGGGCACACTGATAGCGGTGGTCAGCGTCAACGACAGGGACTCGGGAGCCAATGGTCAAGTGGAGCTCACCTTGCATCAGCAGGAATCCTTGCCATTCCTCCTGAATAAATCCTCGGAGGGTTACTTTGAGCTGCTGGTTTCGAAGCCACTGGACAGAGAGGTGATAAGCAAATACGACGTCACGCTGAGAGTGACGGACAAGGGCTCGCCGCCCTTAGCTGAGACCGAAACCATCACTCTGGAGATTCTCGACATCAATGACAATGCACCCGCATTCTCCCAGTCCTTCTACACAATCCATGTTGTGGAGAACAATATACCAGGGGCGCTATTGACATCCCTTAGTGCGTTTGACCCCGATCTCAACGAGAACCAGTACTTGGTCTATTTCATAATGGAGAAGGAGATTGTTAACACGTCAATGTCAATGCTGTTCTCCATCAACCCTGAGAATGGTGATCTTTATGCCCTGAAGACCTTCGACTATGAGAGAGAGAGGGATTTCCTCTTCCACATCGAGGCCCGGGACTCTGGCGTTCCACCGCGGAGCAGCAATGTGACAGTTCACATCATCATCCTGGACCAAAACGACAACACCCCTCTCATAGTGTCACCTTGGCGAGCCAAGGGCTCCGTGGTAGAGGAGGTGATACCGAGGTCCACGGACAAGGGGCACCTGATCGCCAAAGTGATCGCCATCGACGCCGACTCCGAGCAGAACGCCAGGGTCACATATCAGCTCCTGCAGGTCACCGACATGACCCTGTTCAGCCTGGACCAGTACAACGGCGAGATCCGGACAACACGGATGTTCAGCTACAGAGACCCGAGACAGCAGCGGCTGGTGATCATCGCCAAAGACAACGGCCAGCCGTCTCGCTCCGCCACCGTCACTATCAAGATATCGACGGTGGAACACGTCCTGTCCTTTTCGGAGACCACAGAGCTGCCGCTGGAGTACGACGTCTTCACAGACCTAAACCTGTACTTAGTAATCGGTTTAGGGGCTGTGTCATTTCTGCTACTGATAACCATCTTGGTTATTATTGTGCTGAAGTGTCAAAAACCAAAGCCAAAGGCCTTCAAGATCCCCCCTCCCAACAGAAACAGCGTGATCAGCAGGAACAGCATGATCAGCCAGAGGAGCTCCACCATCGCAGATTCCACCCTGATCTCCAGCGATGCCTACTGGTACAGCTTGTTCCTCGCTGAGACCAGGAAAGGCAAAGTGGTCGTGAGACAGCCGATAATTCCCAAAGGAGCTGGCTATTTCGTGTCCAGTATACCCAGGAGCATAGGGCCAAGTGAGACCACAGACTCCAGAGCATCCACACTGGAGGTATGTATGAGTGCTTGCAGACAACACAGAGGAAAGCAGAAAAAAGTGTTGATGAGACAACTAATTGGTGTGTTCATGGACCTACTGTAGTATAAAACGTTCTTACATGTCATGATTTCTTTTTACTCCCTGGAAGGCCGACGGATGTTTTGTCGTATATAATAATGTTTGCAAGTTCAAAGAAGTGCCTTTGCTATAGTACCGCAGTACCATTATTTCCTAGTTATATACATACATAAATAAATATACATTCGAAAGAGGTCCCATGCCAAATTGGAGAACATTTCCTCAGTGTAACTCTTTTATGTTTCCGGTTATTTTATTTCATGCAGACGTTAATACATATTTTAAACATAGAGACATAAAGCTTTTCATATACAGTCTATAATATCAAGCTGGTAAACTAGCTCCACCTTGATCAGCTACAACATTAAAATACTACTGCACATTGGTGCATCAGTATTAAGAATATAATAATGTCATATACAGTATAATAGTATCAGTTACGGGGGCCAGGTTGTCTGCGGACCAAGTCATTTTATTGTGTTTACTTTTAAGTGCACGTTAGAGATAATGCTTCTGTCCTGTGCTGAGATTTGAATGCAGGACTTTTATTTGTACTGAAGTATTTTTTACTTTTACTTAAGTCAAGGATCCGAGTACTTCTCCCATCATCACACGTACTTTGAAATGCATTTAGGCTAACACCAACGACTGAAAAACTACAGTAGTGGAAGAAGTACACAGATATGCTACTTAAGTAAAAGTAGTGAAACCACAATAAAGACCTCCTCAGTTTAAAGTAAAAGTCCTACATTTAAATGTTTACTTAAATAAAAGTACAAAAGTATTAGCATCCAAAATTACTAAAAAAGTTAAAGTACTCATCATGCACAACGGCCCATTTCAGAATAAGAATATGTCATTGAATTATGATTATTGATGCATTAATATGTTCATCACTTCAATGTTGCTGCTGGTGAAGGTGGAACTCATTTTAATAACTTTATATATATTCTGTGATTCAAGTCTCTTTCTGTGTAGTCTAAGTACAAATGAAACATGCTGCAAATGAAAACAGAAACGGGAAAAATATTTGATGGTGTAAAAATACTGCATTAGGTCCAAAATTATTCCTAAACATTCTACTGCACAGTTATATTTACATTTATATATAATTGACTGTAATGTACCTATTTCCAAAGGCAACAGAAGTAAAAAACCTGTGAAATAAATTACAAGAGAATAGGCACGCTGATTAATATCAGTGTATTTCTAGCGCAAACAAACAACTGAAAACTGTGCCACTGTTCGATGTCTTATGTAGTATGTAGGTCATTTATTGCAGATGCATAACACACAATCAGAGCCTAACTATTGGCTGTGTAAGAGGGGGAGCGCTTCAAAGATGCCCAGGCATGGAGGAGTTCTCTTCAAGGACAAGAGATACCGCTGTACCGAGGCGCACCATGCTGGGGGTCTCTGGGGTCTCCAGAAACCGATCCAGATGTTGTTTGCTTTTGTGCAGCTGGACCGGCAGACTAAACTGAAACAAGTGGTCCACTGAAAGATTAAACAACATCAATTTGCATAAATGCACAGGCGCACGCGTGTAAAGAGAGAGAGAGATGATGTGTATGTATTGTAAGCGTGAGTGTCTGAGTTTCACACGTACCACTGAACTTGTCTCTTTCTTCTGTTCTTAAGTACTCAAAATGACAGGAAGTCCATTCTACAACTGGAGGTATGCTGGTTGCTAACTACATCCTGTAGAGCCACTATAATTTTCTATCTTTCCCTATTTGGTATCCACTCTTGGTTTGGCTCAACGATCCGGTTTGATAAACTGTCACAGTTCCTGGTGCAGACCTTTGGTCAACACAGTGTCCTGATTAAACAGAGCAGAATCAAATATTTCCATTTGTCCCAGGTCAGACTCTGTCCCTCACAAAACCAACAGTCATTGTGGGGCAGTACAATATAAATTTTGCGAAAAAAAAGCAGATAGCTTACTGAGAGCTGAGATTAGAATAAAACTGGCTGCTGGTCAGACCTGTGTTGTGCACATCTGGCTGGCTTGGCGGAGATTCGGGGTAAAGGGATGGCACAGATAGAAAAAAAAAGGGCTCAGAGAATGATTTGTCCCAAATAGGATCTCGGCATGTAACATACCTGAGAGCACAGACCGTGTCAACTATCTCCGCATCCTTGCACATGAGCTCAAATGTATGGCCTATAATAATAAGCCTATTTCCCTTCTGTAGTTGTAATATTGGCCCACCAAATACCAAATAGCACATTTCGATGCATGCGTGTGCATGCTTTAATTACACCCTTTGCTTCCCTATTATAAGTTAATGCGTTTGTCCTATTTTATTTTAGCTGTGTATGATGTCAGTCTGATTTCCATGGTAAAAAAAATTGAATCCTCAACAAGTATGATTTGACAGAAAAATTATAGGAGCAAGTTGTTTATTTAACCCTAAATTAAAACCAATGACGGTGGCAGTAACCAGTCACGATCCACTGTTGCATGAGTGAGGACTTTCTACAAGTTTATATGCAGGTTGACTTTCTGTGTGGGCTAATTCTATATTCTGTCTCTCAGCAGGCGCCCAGAAGAGAACTGCCATGATATAATCATCACCTCATGAGAGTCTCTGCCTGGAGTTCTTCCCTGTGACTCACAAAGAAGATTTAAAACATCTGTCCTCCCTCAGCTCCTCTGCTCCAACTTGTTCTTTCTCTCTAGCGACTAGAAACATCGACCACGAACCACCTCAGCTTTCTACCTTCTTTTCTCTCTTAAGCATGGATCTGCATGATTCTCCAACATTCAACAATATTTGGACATATTGAAATCATTCACGGCAGGACATTTGGACATTGCCTTCGGACGTTGCCTCATGTAGTCAATCATTCCCTCCTTAACGCTTTGAAACTCCTCAGTGGACATATTTGCCTTCTATTCCAGGGTTTGCTCTGTGTGCTGTAGTTCTAGGAACCATCAGTAGCTCAACACATCTGTAAGTCGCAATCATGCAACCTTTTCTAAGCAAGAGCTCAAAACACGCCTATTCACAAACACACATATGGATCAGGGTGAATATGATTCTTCCGTAAAAAGCTGATAAATGCTGAACTGTAGCTGGTTACGTCACTGATTCAGGCTTTTCACTCAGTGTTGATCTTTTCTTCTGAATAATGGTTTCTACCGTATTATGAGTCTTGCTGTTCAGTAAGGGTCACACTGTCAACTAGCAACTTGCCGATGAAATAATCAATGATCTGATTTTTTTCTACAATGTTTGTTCTACTCAACACTGATGAATGTGTGAAAATGACAAAAAAGGAATGAAAGAATGAAAAAAAACATAGGAGATCCATTGTTTCTCATTTTATTTGATTGTAGATGCTGTAGTTCTATTGCAATTATAATGAGGTCAGAGAAGCAAAAGGACTTTTGACGGCCTCACCAACATCAGGTGTACAGTTCATACCTTATCGACATCTGTGCTGTTATATCTGATTGGACACGTTATCTAGCTGTAATGGGGAGTCACGAATTACAGTGTGCGAGGTTGAATGGGGGGGGAGGTGTGTCCTCATCAAATATTCATTCAGAGGCTCTATGACATCACACAACGGGGCCAGAGCGGGCAGCATGTAAAACGTTCAAACATGACCAACAGTATTTTTCAAAAACAGGGTCAAATGTCAAATCCACTTTTTCTGTACACAAGATTTTTCTCTTCACAATTATAAGCTGTTATCGTCCCAATCTAATTCCCACCGATAAATCTGGCAATACAAATATGAACTGCAGTCATTTATTGCACACAGTGCAAATCATATTCAATTTAATAGAAAACACGACAGCGGAAATTTAACAAAAAACATATTTTCTAATGATAAATACTCTGTTTATTGAAAAGACTAAGAATATTGAAATGTATTGATCTTTGTCATGGTACAAGGGGGTTATACGGTCCAGGCAAGGTATTGTGTTATGAATATTCATGTTTTTATAGATATTTTATGTATTTAACTTTTAATGCTGCTTTTGTGAGCTTCTTCAAGGGCATTTTTGTGTTGCATATCCGTAGTTTAGTGCATATGATGTTGTTTTGATAGCGTACATAAGTTACAAATTGAAACTAGAGTACTTTTCTTGACCTCAAAGGTAGCGCTGTTGCACTACTGTGAAGCCCAGGACTTTCATTTCTCAGAAACAAGGAGCTCGTTAGGACCACTTATTAGGGTGCTAAATGATCGAGCCTAATTGGGAGATGGGATTGGGAGAAGGGGAGCAAAGTGCTAATTATACTCGCAGTATTTTAGAGCTGACTGTGCAAGTAAAATCAGGAACACATAGGCAGTGCGTAAGAAGTATTAAGCAGATGACAGCACTTTGAAATATGCACCAGGTCTAAATGTGATCGCAGCACTCACTCGGTAATGCAGCGGAGAGAGAATATTTCGAGATGTATCGAGCTACATATTCTGAGTCAGTGAAATCTAACGTCTCTCTCGCTCATCCTCTCCCACTGTTGCCTGGCGCTGGTGGTGCACCAGGCTTCCCAGACATAAACACAGCTGTCTGTCAGACTAAAGATGTCACTTAATGAGGGATCTCTTGCTGTGGAGTACATGTTATGTGTGCAATCAACGCCTGAACCGGTTGAATCCAACAGTGTTTATAGAATTAACCAATTGCACATATGATGAGCTCCTTGCGTGCCTTCTGCATTGTAAAAGATATATATATATATATATGTGACTGTTGATGAATGAAATGAAGGCATGTCATACAATATTACAAATTACAAAAATGGCAGTACCCCAATGATGAAATACCTTGAATTGCTAAGACGTCGCTGGATAGGGGCTCAGCCTTTTGGTTTCATGCTCTACTGAGAACCGGTAAATGCATTTAACTGTAAATTGAACTGCTTTATACTTTGTGTTTTTTATACAGTAGACTTTTTTGATATCTACAG